TTCCGAGTCAATCAGGAAACTTCGGACAAGTAAGTGTACATCAAATGTGCTAGAACTCGACTTTGAAGGTCCTCGCAGAATTTCTCTCAACAGCCACGTCTCCCGTCACTTAACGTCAACATCCCACCGACCCCCGGGGCTTACTCACCCGCTGCTCTCTCTGCGGCTCTCTCGGGCACCCCTAACGCTCTCATGGACGAACTGTTTACGTCGGAAATTTACCTGCGACGGCCTCTGTTGACGAACTTTTAAATCTGGTGCACTTTGGCCCACTCGAGTCCATCCGCGTTCTGCCAGAAAAGTCTTGTGTATTCCTTTCTTTCCTTGATGCTGCCACTGCTGCAGCCTTCCACGCGGATGCGACGATCAAGAAGCTCTCTCTTCATGGACAAGAGCTTAAAATCGGCTGGGGAAAACCATCTCCCGTCAGCGCTCAAGTCCAACTTGCAATTCAGCAGAGCAACGCAAGCAGGAACGTTTATCTTGGTGGCTTGGATGAGGAAATGACGGAAGAACAGCTCAGGGATGATTTGAGCCGGTTTGGCCTCATCGATCAAGTCAAGATTGTCCGGACAAGAACATCGGGTTTGTTCACTTCCTGAGCATCGCTATCGCTACCAAGGTGCGTGGAAACATCCTCCCTCGTGGTGAGGTTGCTCAAGTGGTTGTGGCAGGTTGTCAATACTCTTCCAACCGAACCTGCTTGGGCGGGGAAGCGTATCAACTATGGCAAAGACCGCTGCGCTTATGTTCCTAAATCCCAGCAAGCCGCAGCACAGGCCGCACAGGCCCGGCAGCCCAATCTCTCGTGGCGCAATCGGCCACGCTCTCTCCCGGTACTGGGGCAAACCCATTTGGAGCCAGTCCATTCGGTGGCTCGTTCTCGCCTTACGCTGCGTTTGCTCCGGATGGTATGAACTTTGCTGCTGCCGGCGCTGCTGGAATGGGCATGCAGGGAATGAACAGAACGGTGTATTTGGGGAATATTCATCCCGAGACTGCGACGGAGGATTTGTGTAATGCGATTCGTGGAGGCGTGTTACAGAGCGTGAGATATATGCAGGATAAGCACATTGCGGTGAGAACGCCTCACCTTTTATTGCATCGACTTGACTGACGACTGCGTCTTGTAGTTCGTGACATTTGTGGACCCTGCAGCCGCGTTTACGTTCTTCCAGGTGTCATCCTACCAAGGACTGACGCTGAACAACCGGCGGCTCAAGATCGGGTGGGGCAAGAATTCGGGTCCACTTCCCCCGTCACTTGCACTTGCAGTCCACTCTGGTGCGACGCGGAATGTGTACATAGGCAACATCGAGGACTTCGAAGTCTTCAGCGAGGAGAAGCTTAAGCGTGACTTTGGAGAGTATGGCGAGATCGAACTTGTCAATTTCCTCAAGGAGAAGTACGCGTTTTCAGTTGAATTTGTATCATGGAACGGATATTAATGGACGTCGCCCTAAAGGAACTGTGCATTCGTCAACTTCACTAACATCTCGAATGCGATCAAAGCGATCGACGGAATTAAGAACAAACCCGACTACGCAAACTTGCGCATCGCCCATGGCAAAGATCGGTGTGCAAACCCACCGCGATCAGGTCCTCATGGTGGTGGTTCGCGGCGGTCAGCAAGCGGGAATACTGCTGCTGCGGCGCACAGTGGGGGTGGAGATACTGAAGAGGCAGAAGGAGCCGAGGATGCGGCTGATGGTGAACAGCCAGAGGAAAACGGAGTTGCGCCTAGCGATGCTGAGCACGAAAGTGTGAATGGCAGTAACTGAATGATGCTGATGAAGACTGGCAACCAAACCTGACGAATTTTCCGCCTTTCGGAATGTGCTGATCCTTGCTTCTCCGTGGTCTCGACCGACCGTCCAACTCGTTCGCTCCGCCCTGTTGTATCGTCTCGCGTTCCTGGCGTGGATCAATTGCTCTTCTAGAAGTCTCTCTGGTCTGCCTCTCTGTCTCTTGGACGTTGTTTTGATCGAATCGTGATACCCCAGTCTGTCTCATGTCTGTCTTTCTATCTGTCGCCATCCTTGTGCATATACGTCTGTCTCTCACTGTTCTGGTCCCTCCTCTCGCTCCTCGTGCACATATCGACCATCACGAGATCCCAAACTGCCGAAAGTATAGAAAGGAAGGTGTTGTTGGCCTCCAGTCGGGATGAGGATGAAGGTTTCGGGTTCCTTGCCGGCACAACGTACTACCTCATTTCACTTTCTACCCTTCGACTCATGTGTGTCCGCGCAACCGGCGACGCAGTTGTGAAGTGGTACGCTGTCGACGTGTAAGTAACATTGGGGCTATTGGTTGTGCACATCAACTCTCTTTTCCTTTTCATTGTAAATTCTTCTTGTCTTCATTTCAAACGCGTTACCAAAGTTCTACTTTTCACCGCTTTGACCTACGTTATTACCTTACGTCTTTGTGACATTGCCCTTCCCTTTTTTTCTTCCTCAGTTCTTTAGCTTATGCATTAGCGATCTCCTTCCTGTCCGATACATTACATGCGCTGCATATAACTTCTCTTGCGGAGACAATCTCTTGCTCGCATGTGACAATGGACGGTTGTAGAATCCTCGCTGTCGTCCAACCTTTGGGTACAATACAGGTTTGTATCTCCATGCTGACTTACGGGTTCGAGCTCACAACCGAACAGTGGATACTTATCGGTTGTACACTGATTTAACTGGACCTCGCCCGCGAACGCGTGTCCACTCGTTCGAGGAGCACACGTTTTTGCATTGCTGCTGTGTACTGGGCGAACTGTGTCGAGAAGTACGGAATGACCATTGTACTTGCGGGTCCTTGGACTTCTCGTACTAGCTGAGAGCTTTTTGCGCTACTACAAAATTTCTGGTATTGTAACATTGCGCTTGCGAGCTGTTCTCCGCCAAGTCCAACAGGACAGAGTCGTTAAGCCACCACAAAGCCCAAAACCAGAATAAAACCAATGGAAAATCAAGCTACCCAACCAGCAATGGTATATGTATACACTTCACCGTGAGTTCCGTCTATTGCGGAACACCCACTCTTGAGTTGAGCTTCAGATGGCATCGCGAGTCGGATACGATAAACTTGAAGGAATAGAATCATACTATTGGTTCCTTCACTGACATCGTCCACGATTTTCCTGGCTCCGATAGTTGCGGAACTGTTGGAATCGATGGGGGGCTTGATCTATTGCTTTTTCACCCATTCACGCGCATGGAATTTCGTTCGACTTGGCCCCTTTGCGAAAACAGCTCAAGCGGACAGCTCGAAGAACGTCAATTACCTGGTATTCCCTTGAGGGTTTGCCAATCAGGAATGTGCCCTCGTACGCTCGTTTCCATCGAACAAGGAAACTTCATAGCTCTTATCTGTGATACTACTGCTCCTTGCGACAGGCCGCCGCAACTACCACAAAGCAACGCCTATTTGCGTGGGGGCGCAATCATATCATCTCGGAGAAAATAGGGAGGTGCATTATCGTAAATGACTCGACAACGTTCAAGATAAGCCAGTTTCTACAAACTTTCTCCCTTGTTGTAGGATGAAACATCTGTTCCGTGCAGGACATCACCTCTGTCCCCGGAATGTGCATGTATTGATCCTACCGAACGGAATCCCGTGTTGTGACAACTTCCACTTTACAGTCGTGTTACGGAACGCAATCGCAAATGCGGGCCCTCCCTATTACAAGGTTTCAGTCCTAGTGAAAATTGGCTAACACCTGTCCATCGATCCAACAGATCTCCCATTCGAACATTCCTCTACACAGGAATTTGCATCGTACTTTTCGTTTTCACGATATCTTCATTGATGATGCCTCGTGCATTCCTGCGAGATACATAGTTTCCAACTTGTCCAGCCGAATGTTGTTTGCACGGTGCGGTAGCCTGTGGAGCGTCATTCGGTCAAGTAAGCGACTACCTCCTGGAGCTGACAAAAGGAAGAGTTGATGTCATACTAATGGAAGAACCTACAACCTGGTTCAGACACAAGAAAGCTATTACCCATTGTCGAGGATGGTTTTGCGGTACGACATGACATTCCCCTTACCGGAACACTTCAAACTGTATTCTAGTTTGAAGCGGACGATTTTGTGCACGTAGGAAAGACAGATGATCCGCCGGCGAACACCACGGATATCATCATGGTCGACTACCATACGGCAGGTGATTAAATGATTCTGTGTAACCTTAACTACGCAGAACGCAGGGCCTGAAATTCCCTACCATAAACAACGCCACTCGTCCAATTCGTGATCCGCTGAAGATAACAATGATGTTATGAGCACAACTTACCGTTCAGTAGGTGGCCTCCAATGAGGGGAGAGGTTCTCACATTGTTTGTTAAGGGTGCGCAGTCCGGACACATGGCAATTCATGTCCACAGTTTCGGGAGCCACTGATGGGTGTCATGGGGAACAGATTTCGGTAAGGTTCACCGACAAGAAAGATAGGTCAGGTATGTTTTGTATTCCCTAGATATTGTAGCCTCTTGGGAGCAAGTGATGCCCAACACCGCACTGGGTCCAACAACATCAAATCGACACGGCAACGGAGAAGTTTCAATATCCACAGAAGTGATCCAACTAGGCGGCCGCCTTACACACTCACAAGGGTGTCCGAATTTCCGACTTTCCTGGTGACTAGATCACGACCACCTGACATCCCACTGTCTATACGTGGACGTGAAACAGGCGGCGGGTTGCCCACGACACCGATCATGGATGGCATGGCAAAATCAAAATTCAACGTTCAGGATCATTGATTGATGTGCCACATTGCAAACTTAACCTCTGTAGTACAACCAGTTACTGATCACAGTAACTAAATGGTGTTAATTGGAACAAGACATGCCTTGTGCGCCCTCGACTCGGATTCTGTTTCATGACTGCCGTACCATTGCAGTGTTCAAGTCTATCGCAATTTGTGCTCGGCGACCTGGTTGCCATACGTTGACATACGGAACGACACAGCCTATCTGCGGCGGGTCTGACGCCCGCCGAATGGATGCTGTGTATGCCAATTGGCTGCGATTCTTGGTAGGGCCATGTCGGCGTGTGATTCGGCCCCCATTGCCTACTCTAACCTTGTTGACCTTAGTTGTAGATGACGGGATAATCTTTGCGGTGGAAAGTATTGGCCACCTGCTGTGCAGAGTCGGTCCGGGAACATTGCAACCTACGTTTTTTGAAGGCCGGTAAGGTTGCGGCTGCATTGCAAACTTGTTTTTATCATTATTATACACATTCTGGTACACGTATGTCGGCATTTCTACATACCTATTATCCCATTTCCTAGTTTACGCATGTGATCCAATATGATTGTGGTGCCCTCCACGCATGATATGCTGGCATAGGCAGTGTCTCCAGCTACCGGTTGTAAGGTGCGAGTGCAGCCCCGCCGCGACTTGATACAGTAAGTTGCAAGTAAGTTGCGACTATTAGCACACAGACCAAACACAGATTCAATTCCAATAAGAACTTGAGATCGTTCCGAGCCCGGCCCTTGTCCATATTCCGATGGCAATACTTTCTTTTTCCGTCGTGGTAACTATTCGGGTCCAATACGTGGGCTTGTTATAGTAAGTTCCTTGCGCCGCTATCTTGAATCATAATGGATTCAAGAACAGAGTAGTTACGAAGGATAGGAAAAGGGACCGGACAAGAGACAGAGTTCGGGGTATGTGCCGGGGGACGCATTGAGCCAAGGCTTGTTGCCTGCAGACTCCGCCTACCCACGAGTGGAGCGTGACCGCTACGGTGAACGACTTTTGACAGTTAGCGACCGGTTCTCGGTGTTCTCTTCATTCAGGGTAACAACGGAACCGTAGAATGCATTTCGTGGGTGGTTCCTTCCGTATTATTATGTAGTAGTAGGGCCAAATCCCGTCTCTCGGTGCTCGTTGGTGGTCATCTTGGATCAGATGCAACAAGATCAGTGACTCAATGGCACTGATCGGTTTTCAGATCTCATACAAAGCCTCAGGTGAGTCCCACTGCAATGTAAATTTGCAATTATCTAGGAGGTTCAGCATAATTCCGGACTATTGCAAGAGACAAAGTTTGCCGCTCCTTGCTGTCACAGTAGGCTTGCAGCCATTGAAACAGGCAACGCAAGAAGCTTTTCTATCGTTGCTGCTTCTCTGAAATGTATTTAATTGTTTCAGGGTCGACGAAAGGCACGAGGAGTGTTCTCAGTAGCGACAGGTGAGCACTTCTTGGTGACACAGTGAGATTATGTAAGTATGTTCACGTTTGCCATTTATGATTATGACCTGAGTGGTTCTCTCTGTCTGATTGGCCTAAGCGTATTAGACCGGGACTTATTACCGAGCACGTTTGTGGGTTAGGAAGACGCGGCGGTTATTACGCTTTATTTCGGTGACACAGGCAGCCATCCCTTATCATGCCGTCAACTTTACGGCCAGTGCTCCCACACCACCTTGGAGACTCGTCTCGGACACCCGTCAATTCGGGTCTTCGGTGCGTATATTAAATTCGCCTGCACCGTTCAGGGACAGCCCTTTCCCTCCCCTCTCCTTCTCTAACGTCCAAGCTGTAGGAGCGATGAACTGGCCGAGACGAAGTTCTCCGTCGATAGATGTACTCCTCGCGATAAGTACGCACGTACATATACCTTCATGCCAAAATCTATTCCCGGTATAGATGACCTCGTTCTCGACTCTCCGGTACGCCCGTCTCTCGCCTTCGCACTTACCTTATCGAAGTCGCTGCATACTAACGAAATGATAACAGCTCAACGCATTCTGCGTCATGGGTGACGAATTTCGGCCCAATCCACGCCCACGACCTTCCCCACTGGAGGGCATTTGGAGGAGTGGGGGTCCCGGTGTACCAGCTGATAAGCCATCCGTTGCGCCTTACCGGTGCGATGGAAATATGGAAGAAAACCTTGTCGATCGCACGGACAAGCTCTCCGCACCCCAGTCACCGATATCCCCTTCCTTCATCGCAATCGATAGTGCACTGCGCGACGCCGGTTTCGATACCAGTTGTCTCGACGCCTTGGATGAGCAACTCCTTCGTTCACCGACAGATTGCTTCTCAGACATTTGTTGGGCCACTGCTGTGCAGGATGACCAAGACTGGTATCATCAGCAAGAAGCTGCTGAGCTGGACGTTGACATCGTGGATATGGGCGTAAACGTCGATGCAGTGGAAGAGAAACGGATGGACACGATCAAGAAGAGCACCAGGAAGGGATGTCGGGATGTTTGCGTCCCTCTGTCTCCCCGTCTGCTGCCACCACAATCAAAACCGGTGATACGTCCGCCACCAGTACAGACCACCGTACCATCGGTGCCCGCAGCGCCGTTGTCATCCTCACTGTCTTCAGCGGACAGTGAGGAAATGATGAGTCTGGACACGGTGCCGAAGAAAAAGGTTGTGGATGCCGCCCCGTTACCGCTTCGTCATGAGAAAAAATGGTGAGTTTCTCGATCACTCTTTTGGGATCGGTCGGATGCTTCTGTTCCCAAGAACTTGGTTTTCTGGGTTCAATTTCCTTTTCCCTCGTGCCCCCCCTTCTCCATCTTCCGCGGCTTTCAACTGACTGGGATGTTTTATTTCTTAATATTAATAGCCCCTTAAACTCGCTCATTCCGCGTATGAAGCACATCATATTGACCTTGTGTTAACGTCATCTGTGCCATCCCCGGTGTCATTATCACCGACGGCCAACGGGTTGATGGCGGGCAAAGGGGACCGTCCCGACGTTCTTGCGGCCTCGGAAGCGAGGATACTCCACTCAAACCCGAACGAGTCGGTCCACTACTTTCCCGTTTCGCGTGATCGAGAGAAGAAGGAGAGGCGGGATCGCACCACGTCAGCTTCGCGGGATGTGAACCGGAAGAAAATTCATCCCCAATCACGGATTCACACACAAATGCCGTCTCCGCCGCCGTCACCATCCCATTCACCTTCGTCCTCTGGGTCTTCTAGGTCGCACTCTCAGGGGCCAGGAGGTAGAAAGTCTAAGAAACAGCGCCCTGCGATATCTAATCCAGTTCCTTTACCTCCTCACGTGGCGAACGCGATCGTCGGAGCAACCAACATGAACATGAGTACGACACACGTGCACACGATGCCCATTCCTATCCCTACGTTCCCTACTTCTGGTTACTATACATCTCCCCCTTCGGCGCCTCCCCTACCTCCGCCTCGATTTGCCATGTCTGATGCGGTGGATTATCTACACATGCCCGGTACACCAAAATCACCTGGTAAAACTCTCCGCAAGATTTCGAGTGCATACTCTACGTTAACGGGGCGCAAGAGAGTAAAGTCTACGGTGTAGTTTGTGGTTTATTTGTTACTCCTGGGGGTTTGGGGCTGCGTCCGCCAAAATAGTCTCGGTATACTAATTACCCGTCTTGGGTTCCTGTCGCTCTTTTTTATTTATTTATTTGATTGATATCGTAAGCAGTCGCTCTCTTCCATATCTTTTCTCCGCTCCCTCTCTTGCTCAGGAAACTGTACGGTGCCAGTATTGTGTTGTACTACCTAATTTCTCTTCCTACGGTACAGTTGACCTTATTCCGCCTTCGCCATAGTAGATACCCCAAAATCATAGTCGTTGGAAAGGCATCTGGCGACGCTGATGGCACGATGATCTTGAAGCTACTCATTGACATCGATCAATCAAGATATGAAATATGTATGGCTAGCACCGAGTACGTGTGGATCTACATCTGCCTCGCTCCTCTGCTCTTTCCGTCTATTCATCCTAACTCGCGTTTAGGTCGATGCGGGATGGGTTGATCACGCTAGTAAAGCGAACCAAACTTTGTCCATACATACTAACGGCCGCGAGTGAAAGGTCAGGTGGACCATCGAGGGGAGTCCTTGCCGAGCTCGGTTGCGACAAGGATAGTTAGTCAAGAACTTAGTCGGACCTGTTCACGAGACCCCTAACGAGATTGTGTATGCCGAAGTCCTGTTCGAGCTGAGAAGCATGATCCCCATAAGCTCCAAGTTTCCCTATCGAAAAAGTTTGGTGTACTCGACCCTTGGTATTCTCTCGCGAATACTCGCGCCAGAGCCGAGACCAAAGAAAAAAAGACAAGAGGTACTCACTTCTACTTTCACCCTTCCATCATCTTTTCCTGCCGTCGTTCCAAACACGGCATCCATTTCCTCGAGCGAGATGCCTGCAGTTTCGGGGACGAGGTACGTGCTCCAAAAGTGTGCCGCAAAACATGCTGTTCCGAAGAGAAGAAAGGTTGTTCTGTGGTCGCGTGTTTCGCGTCGTTGGGGCAACCGAAGTCAGTCACGGCATAAGTACGGAATATTAGCTTTGGGGTGAAAAAGTCGAGTGGAAAAAGAGAGACGCCGATAACGTACGCGGCAGATGACTGAATCATTGGCGGAGTGATAAGTCCGATCAGAACTGCCGTAACGCGTCAATTACGAATGTCATTTGGCCAGGTCGAGATAACGAAAGTCAGCGTTGGCGTCAAAAATGTCGAAAGCACATCAATGCTCGGACACAAAATATAGTCTCCATCATGAAAATACCCACAGTTATTAACCCAGTTCGAGGCCGTGGCCAGCGACACGCCCTTGCTCCTCATTGAAAGTGGGAACACCTCACTCGGGAGTACCCAACCGATGGGGCCAAAGCTCACTCCGTACGCTGCCGTGAAGGTGTATATGCATCTATGACGCGGAGAAGTCGTTCAGGGCCAGCGGCGGCGGGGAATACGAAGAAGGCTAGGACCGTACATAACAGCCACCCACGCAGCAGACGAATGCGCAGGCCAGTTCCCTTCGTAATGATAGATCTATCGCCACCCATCAAAGCACATTCCGTTAATAGCTAAGCAGGAAGCAAGACACAGGAACGACGCACGAGTATAGCGATAACGATATGAGACAAGGTCATTAGCGCGCTGCCACCTGCTCAGAATGTCATGATAAATTTAACAATACGTACGACCACTCAGGGAAGAAAACACGCACCTCTCAGCAAAGGCTTACGACCTGCGCTCATCCGTCACCACCAAGGAGAGTATGTACAAGATGGTAAGGAACATCGCACAGCGGATGTGTTGCGGATATTCGATTATATCAGCCCTCAATGTCCCAAAAGCAAAGAAGACAGGGAAAAAAGAAACCTCACCCAACCTATCCAGGTATAGAATTGCAGGTATCACGGCCAGGAATTGCACGATCCCGATACCGCCTGACACAAGCAACGACACTAAATCACCCTCGAGACCGATACTTCTGACCAGCGTTGGGCCGTAGTAAAGTAAAGCATTAATCCCGCTCCATTCTGCGAAGAGTAGGTGGTGACGGGCCCACAAATACCGTCTAGGCATGTGGATGACGTACGCTGAAAGAACATGATCATGATCCCCAAAAGCGTCCGATCGAAGTACTCCCGGTGGAAGAGCCTTTTCCAGCTGTTCACAAACCCTTCTCTGTCATTCGTACCCAAGCACTGCGTTTCGAGGGCAACGTCCACCTGCATCTCTAAGAACTCCAGCTAAATATAGTAAGTCCACGGCCAAGCTTCGGCGTCAGAGTCGCCAGGGCAAAGCTCAGAGAACCTCACCTGGAGTAACGGATCATACGGGGCCTCCGCGGCCGTACGTAATCTAAGCCTAGAAAGTGACTGCATAGCATCGTCCAGCCTTCCTTTGAGAACTAAGAAGCGCGGGGAGGGTGGGAGAAGGAAGCACCCTAGGCAGAGGGAAATGCCTGGCAAGAACTGCAATGCAAGGGGAATGCGCCAGGAGGCCGAACCTTGCACTGCACAATGTATAATGCGGAATTCACATGCGGTCTAGGACAGCGTCCAAGGCACATACCATTTCGTGTAAGAAAGCCGAACCAAAAGCCAAATACAACGCCAAGCACAATAGCGAGCTGCTCCAGAGCCATAAGAGAACCGCGGAGTTCGGGAGAACTTATTTCAGCGATGTAGAGCGGGGATAGCATACTAACGTTCCGGGTGCGTGTTCAGGTGTCGGAATCGGGGATAAATATGTGACTCATGTGCATAACTTACCTTAAGGCGCCGACACCTACGCCACCGATGGCGCGGCCGAGGATGAGGTGATTGAGGGACTGTGCACCTGCTTGAAAACCTGACCCTAAGCAGAAGACCACTGGGTGGCGTTTCGTATGGGTTATTGCTCACGACTTACGGGCAAGGTGGTGAGGCGGGACCTACGGGAAGCAAGGAATATAGAACGTCTTCTTGAGAATTTATCCGCCGACACACCCGCCAGAAGTGCTCCGAAAAGTGCGCCGAGCTCAAGCACAGCAGCTGAGAAGAAAGATGAAGATAACGCCACACACCGCGTCAACGCATTCGTTCACGCACGAGACAAAAGATGGGATGTCTCCACTAGGAGCACATGCACACTCACTCATGATGCCCTTCTCCCATGGTCCAACAGGCCACCTTGAAACAAAATCTTTCATGACGAGTACATTCGCTATCACGCCCTGATCGTATCCGAATGAGAGGCCTCCTACGGAGGCGAATATCGCACAGCCTGCAGCATATCGGTTGCTGAAGAGGCCGGAAACACCAGTTGGACCGTAGGCATAAGAGTATGTGTAAGTACTGGTGGATTCGTCGGTGAGAGGGGAAGAAGAGTAGACTGTGAGTGTACCGCCGTGAGGTGTTTTGATTGTGTATCCGTCCCCTACTCGCCGGCCTTGACGGTCAGAGAGGGTCAGGGAGCACACACTATCGTCGTGCGGATGTCCTGTGAGAAGCCGGTAGGCACCTGTTGCCTGATAATGAGTTAGTTCGATGTCTCATTCAGGTTTTAAACTGTGGTCTGACCATGCCCAATGATGTATGTATGTGGTGAGGAGGAGTGCTATGGCCGGTGGCAGTGCAAACTGTCGATTCTCCCCGACTCCCACGGAGGGTACGGAGTACGATTCTCTGCGGTGACTCAAGGAATTAAAAGTGGGGGTGGGAGGTAGTGGCGTGCATTATTGATGCTACGAGATTGAACGATCCAGGTCGTTCTTGCAGTACCAATGGTGGCACTATTCATCTTGCAATGACCATTCCTAGACGCGCACGACGTAGCGTTATTCGACAGAAATGAAGATTAAGATATGTTCGCAAGGCAAGCTGAACATTGACAGCGGTGCGCTGCAGGCCTAAATTTCGGATTGGGACGCACGCACTATTAGGGGCCTGGACGTGGACAATGACACGGTGAGTTCAGTGACACGTCTCATTGATATTGATGTGAAAGGCTGATTGAGACACTTTTAAGTCAAAGCCGTTGTCTACGAGAACCATTGTTATCCACCTTTCCACACTGTGACAATTATCGGATACCACTCCTCCGCCAGTGGCTTTGGTAACGGGCTGGCGTGGAGATGACCGCCAAATGGGTCATCGTTGAAAGTCATTGACCACTTTCCACCGTGTTCCACTTCGTGGCAAGGTGGCGGACCCATTCCCTTCTACAATACATATAGAGGTCAGCATCTCCCTCCTTTCCCTCATCATTGCCTTCATCCTTTTAATTCTTCTCCTTGTCGGGTCTGCGACTCGACATCCTTAAGTCTCGTACTAGTTTCATTTCACTCTCATACACAACCGCTTGCTCCTCCTTGACGGAAGACGCAAAAACACCGTTTGGAAGTGAACTCAATTAACGATATTCTACTCACGACCTAAGATGCATCCCGCCGTGTCGTCGACCCCTGGTGAATTGACCATGTTACCCTGCCCCCAACACGGTCTGTCCTTACGGGAGCGCCGCAAGATCATCTTGACCGTTCGAACCACTCTCCAGGAGCGTCCGCTCTATGCCAATGCTTACCGAAAATTCATTACAAAGTACACCCCTCTTCTCCCGCCAACTCCGAACTCTGTCGCTTCCGAGTGGTTGTCTGACGAAGAAGACTACGACTTTGAGTTGGTGGACTCGGACTCGGATATGGAGTCTCACTATAGTACTGCCTCTTCTTCTCTGTCAGAGATTCCCTCGAACCCTCCTTTCGTCCCACGGCAGTCCTCCAGCGAAAAGAGCCATCTGGATCTAGTTGAAGACGATTTGTACGTCGCTTATGCAGACAACGCCGACGAAGCCGCTGCCCTGCGCACCTTCGCAAACCACCATTTCACCCATATCCTACAAATTACTGTGGTTTCCCCAGGATCAAGCCGAGCCGGCGGAAGCGTGAACACTGGTAGTTGGTCGGAAGAATTGACTTGGTCTGGTCGCGAATTGCGCAAACTTCATCTTGCCGTTCCTGCGCTCCCTCAAGCCACTGAAAAGTACATGCTTCTCTCCCCTCGCCAGCTCCTCGCAGCACGCGATTGGATAACACTCGCGATGCCCCTCAACGAATATGAAATCCCAGTTCTCCCCAGGTGGTTTTCCATCGCGAGATTGGTGGTCGTCGCCCCGAGGGGAAGGATGGCTGACATTATGGCAGTGGTAATAGCTTATCTGGCGTTTGCGCAGGATAGACATGTGCTCAGTGTGGCGAGAGACCTGACGAGGAAGGTCGGATTTGATGAGGAGTGGATGCTCACTATCTCAGGGAGGGCTGTTCCGCTATTAGAGATGGTTGCAAGGTTGTAGTGACCGTTGACGAGGTCCTTTTCATGTTTCATTGTCCTATGCTGCAGTTACTATTCCTTTCTGTAGGCCGTACTTGTCTGAAATAGTTGCGTGGACGTGATACCATCATAATAAATTTGGAGTTGACCACCACCGAGCGCAGTTCTCGCGATCAAAATACGAGTCACAAAACATTTCACTCTTCCTCGGGAGGTGTGTAGGCAATACTCGGAGTAGTGGGGCACACGGCAAGTGTAATGACATCGCTATTTAGCTTCAGTATGCTGGCGGACATAACTATATTTGACAGGCAAAAGTGGCAAAGAAAGAAGAACCGACAGTCTGAGTATGGAACGAAACGACGGATTTCAATACGACGGAATATAACAAAGACATGGAAATAATGTGTTGTCACGGCTGACGTCGATACGCAGTTCTTTTTGTGCGTTTTCCAATTCTTTGCTTGACAATCTTTCGAAGAGTACTTGATCCTCTTTCACCTGGAGCACACAGGCAACGGAACCCCGCTTGTGCTTCCGGGTACGGCACCGCTCGATTGGCAGCGGAAGAAAATGTCTCCATGCTTCTTACTCGTTGGGATCTGTCTCGATGGAAAGTGTTTCTTCTATCTCTCCCTTTGAATATCATTCAACTACGGCATGATCCATGAATCAGCTACGACTGTATGGGAGCTAACATCGAGTCGGATGTCAGTAGCGAGAATCGTGGCGTAGCATCCTATCTCTTCAGGGTTTCATAAGGAAAACTCGGCTTCAGTCGGTCCTCTCAATCCAGCGGCAAGAACGAACAAAACGGAGAGGGAGTCCTTCAAATTCATCAGCGTATCAGGCGTGGTAGACCCAGGAAACGTGGTTTGTTCACGCGACACGAGCTCCATTTGCGAAAACATAAATCGGACGTGCGTTCCAAGCCAGTTGGGTACTCTGTGACTCCGAAAGAAGGGCAACGACCCAAACTCAAGCAGTGCATGTTCCAGAGCGTTGGTGCGCCACAATCGAAGGCTGTTCTGAATTTTCCTGTCAATTCGGATCCCCCCTTGACATGGAGTGTTAGTGTCATTGGCGTATCCACCTGTTCTAACGTGAATCACAGGTCGTGGAATGTGCCTACGACACTCACCTCGACATACTTCAATTTCCGTGCCACGCGAAATTTGGCATTTATTGCATCAACGGGGGGAGGGAAGGGGGTGGTATGCTGGTATTGATCGACGTGTAGCTTGGCCGTATTCAGAGACAATTGCTCCACGGTAACCGCGCAACCGCTCGAAAGTGAAGCCTGCCCTGCAGGGTCTACGATGCCAACGTGTGCGGTGAGCGCCTGTATCCGCGTATTAGACTGGTCCATCTCCACATGGACTGGATGTCCCCGAGTTATCGTGTGCAATTTAGGAAGTACAAGAGAGGAATCCCAGTTGATCGTATCATTGCTGGATGTCAGCGCCTTTGTCAGGATACGGACATATCGTTCGTCGGCCAACGGAGCCTTGAACAGGCACATTTCTGGCCTTAATATTGGCTTTAACCACGCGGTTGCGAGGGTGGAACGGACGGTTAGGCCAACCGTCTCGCCTCGCATAATTATGAGAGGGATAGGATGGATAGGGGAGGAGATCGAAGGCGACATGACTCTGGTCCCAGCCCTATCCTCCACGATAGTTCCCACCTTAGTCTCGCCTTCGCCTGATACCTCAAGCTTGCCGAACGATGCCTTCGGAAGTGCATGCGAAGGCATGGTCCACGTTGCCGGCCCGTATTTTTCCGTACGTTTTTGATGCGATCCTGAAACTTCTCCTTGAAATGCTTCGCCTGTTTAGTATTGAAGTTCGATGCTCCGAGCCAAAATTTCTAAAGTCGGCCCTTTTCCGCAAGGGTATCTGAGTTGCACATGGTGACGATGTGCGCATAAGGTCCATGTCTCTACGAATCCAGACTCTCCGCAAGCGGGACGAGGTTGTGGCATTGTTCGTTGAGCAATGAGAGCAAGCTTTCGTCCGACATGATGTGATAAATTGTGTTCCAGATGTTGGGAAGCCTATATATCTTCAGCACCATCGTCTGCTACGAGTGTAAAGAGTAATATGTTGTGGGCTGGTAATGAAATAACATGGGCGCAGTGGCACTTGTTCAAATCACCCGCACCTACCAAGGACAGCGGCCTCGTGATCGCGGCAGGTGATGTCAGGCTTGTGAGGTTCTACTATTCTCAAATCAGAATGAAGAAATTGACGACATCACACGAGACAGTACCATTCGACAACGAAGCCTCAGCGTGCACCGTGTTTTAGATATCCACACCCAAGGAGCAGCACATCCGCCTTGCGTTCGAGGGGTAATTCCTCTGTGAGGTATATAGCAGACGTATTACCAAGCGGATAGAAGGATATTCGACCTAGCCAGTAGTAACCAGCAAGCCTGCCGTTCTGCTGGATGGCACCCAGAGCTTTACTACCTCGCGAACTCACTTCGTTGTCATCGAAGTGGATCGAACTCGCTTAGCCACTTTGGTTCAATTCGAGAAGATTTCTGGGTTGAGGACCTGTCGCATTAGGAAAGTCATCGTTACCGACCTCCAAGGGTTCCGCAGGTTGCTCCCAACCAGTCACTTTCAAGGTGCTTCAGAAACCCAGTGTCGTGCGCTCACATTGCGTCGGGTAAACTGAACTGGCGGACAAATTTGAGGCGATAACGCCAACTGCAAGCCATTTACATCCTGGCAACTCGAAGCGAAAGCCACACGACTGCAGTGATGCTGTCTCGGTTTGCGAGGCTGTTCTGTTTAATTATTGTTTCCCTAGTGCGTGTCGGTGCTTTTACTCTCTTGCTTCACTCCAATGCCTGAAGCTAAAACGTTGATGCTCTGTTTCTCGGACTCTGCGGCGCCCTCATGGCACCATTCAGTTAATCTTAGCAACTCTCGCGTCTCTTCACCCACAGACGCGCGCATACATTGATCCATGGACTGGGGAGCTTTGGGGCGAAGGAGGCGTCGAAAAGGATTTGCGAGTGTTGTATCCTGATAATTCGAAGGAGTATGGACCTGCACACTCGGGCGTGGTGGGAGGGGTAGATGGAGGTGTGATTATGTCCAAGCTAGGGAATGAAACAGCAAAGTACGCCGCTAGCTCTGCCTATGCACAAGTTTTCATCCATTCTTAGGGCTGAGCTGGGCCGTGCGACATGGAAGCTTCTGTGAGTGGATTCTTCTTCTCGACAACACACTCGTCAATCATTCGGTATGCGCGCAGACACACTATGACATTACGATTTCCTGAGGTGCCCATCGATTTCTACGCTATTTACTCTCCGCAAACACTGTATTTATTACTTGTTTTAACTAGCATCCAACACCCGACGAACGCGAGGCTCTCAGCTCCTTTATGTACCTTACCTCGCGACTGTACCCTTGTGGGGAATGCGCTTCTGAATTTCAGGAGTTACTAAAGAAATTTCCGCCCCAGGTTCGTACACGCATAGTGTGCTTGCCATATGCTCGGGCGTTGCTCATTCTTACATTTTACATCATGTGACGTAGACTGCAAGTCGGCTTTCTGCGAGCATGTGGTGAGTAATCGCTGGTTAGTAACCTGGTTGCATCGAGCCATTGATCGTCTTTTCCACCTGCCGGTCCACTTTCGGTGCTTCAGGCTCTGCTCCGTGCATAACGAAGTAAATGTCAGGCTCAGTAAACCGACATTTGACTGTGCCAGGCTTGACGAGACATACGATTGTGGTTGTGGAGATACACCTATATCGTTATCAACTTCAACTGCAGCTGCAAGTCCAGAGGCTGTGGCACTAGAAGAAAAGAAAACTGATGCGATGGATCTGGAGTGGGACAGTGCGAGAGACGGGGTTACCGGTGTTGAATTGATCAAAGGTGGGAAACACTAGAAGTCATATGCCTCGCATGGCACGGGATAGGGTTGGGATTTCCTTGGGATTTTTTTCTGCTTCGGTGGTGAGTTTGTTGTTGATAATGACTGTCGTATTATTATGGGGATACCCCAGCAAGTTCGAGGTCATGGCACCTCTTTAATCCGCACAGGTGAAATGTGGGGTTACCAACTGTGGGCGTCGTGCGTCGTGCTGTAACGTTCTTCCCATGACTGACTGGGAGTAACAATGCTATTAAAGATGCTAGCACCGCTACATACTGGCAAGTACGACAACTTCCCACGGTAGTACTGTGTTTAATAATCGGAATAGTGCAATCATTACGAGTCGCTTGTCGTTCCCGCGATGTTAGTCAAGACTTAAAGAACTACTAATTGCTCATACAACTGGAAGTATAAAAGCATGGAGAAATCCTTACAACCTCACCAACCCCACTCATGACAACGTTCATTCTCCTTGCCATTGCTGCTTACGTGCGCGCAGACCAATGCATTGCATGCCCGGAAATGATGAATGTCAAGACCCTTGATTTCTCCTGCAGTTGCTCTGGCTGAGACTATCATTTGTGCGTGGGCAGTCCATTCGCCACGCACGGGGCTAAGCAAGGTTGCTGACATGTATCTTTACTCAGCTATATCAGGTATACGGGGATGTCCCGACTTCTCTGACCGTGAGCGCGAACTCGCAACTGACTAGGCGTTGAGCGGTTTCCACAAATGCGATCCTTTCGTAGGTCTATCTCTATCAGGCAAGAGACCGATAATTAGCACCTACTCCACGTATGTGTACGTGGCAGAGTCATCACCATCGGGCAGGTCATCATCCTCGAGTATGAAATGCGCAGGTTCGTACTCAATATGGCCCGCAAGTACCCGCGGACCACGTAACAAAGTAAAAGTCCGATGGGGCCTACTTTGGAAAGCCATATTCATCAGGTTTTGTCATTCATCCCATGTACATTCGGCCATCGGCTTCCTTGTTTCTGCGGACAGCCCTGCCTCACCTCACCGGAAGATCTTTCCCTCCCGGCCTATGAGTGTAAGACGCCGTCTGCTGTTCGGCGAACATGCCACGTGTAAACATCAACCACTAGGAGTCACTTGTCGTCGCCGCAGTATTCGATAAGACTTGGACGTACTGATCGCCCACGCAACTAGAAGTATATAAGCATGATGAAACCCTCTCAATCTCACCAATTTCCCCGCAAAGATGCAATTCACGACAGCGTTCGTTCTCTTTGCCATCGCTGCATACGGGTGCGCAGACCAGTGTATTACATGCCCGGAAACGATGGATGGCCAGGCTCTTGATTTCTCCTGCAGCTATGATGGCGAGACCACTTGCGCGTGAGCACCCGTTCCGCGACGCATGGCCCAAGTAGGGCAGCTGACATGCAACTTTGTTCAGTTATTCCTATGGAGGCCCATTCTGCCTTTATTTCGTGCGTGCACAAACGCAATATTTCTTGTGGATGATAAATATTTAATCACGAGCGTGATAGAACACCGGGAACTTCGCGGGCCTCTGTGATGATAACTACTGTGCCGATGGTTGCCCGTTGAACATGGGAAAAACCTTACACAGTTGCGACACGTGCTATTAGAAATTAGTAGCTGGGGGATCAAACCTCTCGATTTCGAGGGTGACTCTCACGTCAATTTTGGAATTGATTTTGAGCACAGACAATGGTCGACTTTGTTGAATCGGCCGGAATTATGAGGTCTCAAGTCCATTCAGTTCGAGTTGTTTAATAATATCTTCACGTAGCACCGGAAAAATAACTACCCCTGTGTTGACACCAGCTGTAGGGCGCAGGGACTGCAGGTGTCCTCGGAAGCTATAGCGAGTCCATGGGATCTCTTGATCCTACAGGATGAAGGAATTAAAGAGTGGCCACCGAAGGCCACCGAAGACACCGAGGGAAGTAAATGCACTGAAAACAAGTGCCATATGTACTGTATAATAGTCCCAAAAGCACTGGATATCAGTTCCATGCGATGAAAATCAGTGCCAAATCATGGCACTGATATTTCATTTTTGCTACTAATAACTAGTGCTGTGCATCAGTGTCATTGATGTGTTTTTTCAGTGTCAAATGGTACTGATTTCCAGTCATGTTAGGCACTTATTTTCTGGAAATTTCCATTGAAGAAGGCACTGATTTTTGCTCACAATGGCACTGATTTTCAGTCAAGAGCGCACTTATCATCAGTCACAAAAGTACCATTTCACTTGCAAAATTAACATTGATTAGACAGCACATTGACATTAAGAGCTGCTGGGGAATCAACAATACACATTACTGGGTGCATAGAAGTCCAAGTAGTGTGAGGCAGAAGTGAGTTCTGATGAAAGTGCATAAACAGTGTGGCTGGGGAATCAACAATACACATTACTGGGTGTGTAGAAGTCCAAGCAGTGTGAGGCAGCAGTGAGTTCCAATGAAAGTGTGTAAACAGTGTGACTGGGGAATCAACAATACACATAGCTGAGTGCATAGAAGTCCAAGAGGTGTGAGGTGGCATTGAGTTGTGATGAAAGTGCATGAACAGTGTGGCTGGGGAATCAACAATACACATAGCTGGGTGTGTAGAAGTCCAAGTAGTGCAAGGCAGCAGTGAGTTCCAATGAAAGTGTGTAAATGGTCTTGAAAGTGTTCAAATAAGTTAGCTAAAAGGAAATGAGAGTGGATTGACAAGGCACAGCCCAGTTACAAATGTTCTGTCACAGTTGGCCTCACCAAGTCTTTGATTGAGTAGTGCAATTTGCCTTAGCATGTTCCTGTGCATTCAACCACAGATGAGTCATAAGTGCAGAATGGACAGTGATGGGGGTATGACAACTGAATTGTCTTATACTCACTGATGTCATGAGTCTGGCAGTTTGACCTATGCTTGCATTTGGGGTGTGCTGCTGGACCTCTGTAAGTGGTGATATCTGTATCAGTATAACACATTGGAAGCATCAAAGGTAGTACACATGCAGTGGCCACTGGCAGCACTGTTGATTGGGACTTGCTGCTTGGCATGACTGTTGTGGTCTGTAAGGTTAGTAGTCTCAGTAGGGCGCTATGTTAGTGGGATAAAGTGTGTAGTGAACATTAACCTTTGCCTGCTCTGAATGTAACTTGTTGGCAACTTGATTGGAATCATCATCTGCCACAAGTAATTTAACTCTGAGGCAAGGTTGTGGCTAAGGTGAATGGTGTCAGTCAAGGCACAGCCTACACAGGATGATGGAGTAGGAGATGCCTTCTGCATTTGCCCTTGGAGTTCCAGCAGAGCCTGAGTGGCATCCTGAGTATCACTTGTTGCTTCACATGTCAGGAGCTCCAGTCACTTTAGTCAAAAGGCAATGATGTTTCTATGAAATATCTCCTCCAACTCTGCATTGTCATCATTTGTGGGGTGGATGAGGGAACCCACATTGCTACTTGCAATCATAATCTTGTGTGCCTTGACAACTGTTGTGGGGCTGTAGTCATCTGCAATCAGCAAGGTTGCTACATAGGGCACCATAAAGTATGTTGTGAATTGTGCAAGTGGTAGAGGCTGTATTGCTGCAGTCAACTCTGCTGATGCCAGGAACAGGGCAATGAGGGTGTGCTCAATGATTGCAGCTCCCTTGTTGCCATAACTGCTCAGTGTTTACATCAATTTCCACACAGTTGAAGAAGTGAGTTGCATGTTAGGGACATATTATCCAGCACATGAGTGGTCTAGAATTGCTGATCTGGAACATAGTGCTGAGTTCCACATGTGAGCTAGTTTTTTCAACATCCACCTGTCTTCAACCAAGTTGGCCTCGAAACACTTCCAGACATGCTGCTGCTTGTGGAGGCTCCTGTTATGAACAATCAGATCTAGCTGGTCTCACCACTTGATGATACACCCTGGAATCTGCTTGAAGTCAATTGTGCTAATGGGCCAACCTTTTTTTCACTGCAATCTTGAGTTGTTCATATTTCCTATACTCCCTTTTGATCATGATGCAGATCTGAGCTCCTAACTGGACTGTCCTGAAGTTATGCCCATGATGTTCTCAGGTCATGGAAATGTATCTTTGTAATGCTGTGAAAAGATCTTGAGACATTCTGGATGGTGTGAGTCAAAGTGTGGTTCAGTGGTGAAAACCAACCAAAACCAACACAAAAGACAATGAAAGCGAGTGGTGGTGTGCCTATGTGGTACCTAGATGGTAGAACCTGTTCTTTGGGAGGGTTTTTGCGAGCTACAACACTCAAAGATGAGTGCTGAGGGTTGGGGGTGCTCCTGACGAAGAGGGAGCAAGAATGTGATAGAAAGCGATAGGGTAGACTGCTGTCAGCCTACAGAAGGATGGATGGTGACTTAATTCGATGTCCTAAGCTGTACTGAGCTCAGGGAGGGCTTGGAGCGAAGTATATGGATGATAGATGATGATAAGTGAAGTGGATGATAGCTAGACCCTTAATAAAGTCTCAACTATCGAAGCTGATGAATGATTTACTGAGAGATGATAAATTGCGAGCAAGAGGGGCTCTCTGATGTCTTCTTTCTTTTGCTACCTAAGTACAGTGACTTATATACAGTACAGGGGCATTGCCTATGGAAAACAAGGTGCAAACACTTGGTAAGTGATTGGTAACTGATGAGTAAGGAATGTAAGTGATGGGTATTTGTCTTGGAAAGCATTGGTAAGCATTGGTAAGGATAAGTAAGCCAAAAAGCGAAGAATCAGTAAGCAAAGTCAAAAGATTGGTAAGTATTGGCAATAGGTGAGTCAAAGACAGTCAGAATGTCACAGTATGAGTCAAGCAATGTCAGGAACTGGGAAAGTGCACTGGAATCACATTAGGGGGAGGCTGTGCATGTCACATCTTGAAGAGATCACTTCTAGGCCAAGGTGGGATGACAGAGAGGCAGCGCTGATCTGATGCTGATATAGTACATCCAAAAGCAGACAGGGTGAGTCAGATGTCAACAGGGGTCAAGCTTTGGGGGTCTGTGGGGTGACAGGAGCATAGGGGATCGCAACTTTCCCCCCCAAACCATCCTCTCAGTGAAGCAAATAAAAACTTCATGAATGAGGCTCTGTTGGAAGAGAGGATGAAGGGGGAGCGTCTTCTGCTGTATCTTGCAACAAGGAGGCAAGATGTGCATCATACTTGTCATGGATGCGATCAGGGAGAGTGGAGAACAGTAGATTATACTGTAGCTGTTGCAGTTTTGGAAGAATGATGGACAAGACTGGTATGAAGATGTTGCAGGGGGCAGGGAGGAAGGATCCATATGCTTCTTGGACTGGAGAGACTGAAACAACCACATAAGACCTTTCCAAGTGAATGACAGACCTGAGGCGACCAAAGAATGTCCTCCTGGAGGTCATACTGACAAAAAGAACACGCTGTCCAAGCTGGATGGGCTGAGAGGGGGCAGATGAGGGTGGGATGTACCAGGATGCTTCAGGATGGAAGCTGGTAGGAACTCCTGGTAGATATATGTAGCCATGGTCCCTAGCAAAGGGGACAAGCAAAATGACTGATGTGGAGGCAGCCATATCAGAAGAATTAGCGAAATGAGCATCTTTTGGAGGGAGTGCTGTAGAAATGTGTGGAGTGCGCAAATCCTTTCCAATCCTGGAAGGTAGGATTGCATGGCTGAGCACTACAAGCGAGTGTGGGAATGGTTTCGGTGTCTGCAGAACTGGTGGAGATACGTCGAAAACCGGAATGCTGTACACAGGCGCTTAAGAATTTTACTGGCGCTTAACTTGCCTCCTCCTTTTTCTTTGGCATTGACAACCTGTTCTTGTGTGAGGGATGACTGCTGACATTGCTGGCTGTCCCTCTTTGCATGAGGGCTATGGTCTTCACCTCCATTCATCAGCTACATCCATGTCCACCTCACCAAACACCTTTGGTGTGTGACAATGGGACCTTGTCCTTGCAATATATGCCTGGACATTGTGGTGGGAAGTCATCTTGCATGATCATGGATGACTGTGTTTCTGCATTGTCCTCCTCATCAGTCAAGTCCTGCATGAATTACATGAGAACACTGGATGGCATACATGATAAGTACATCCAGAACTCACTTGTAGTCCAAGGGACATGTTGTCCCTTTTCTTCTTCTGTGACCCATCCTGTGTGAGTATGAGAGCACAAAAGTGGAATGTGAAGTTTTGAAGGCATGCATACATGACATCCAGAGGCCACTGGCACCTCTGCTTCAGTGGCTTGCTCCCACACTGATGCAAGTGATCTTGGAGTGTGTGACCCACTGCTAATCAATTCCTGAAAGAATGTGAATGCATGGAGTGAACAACTTTCCAAACCAAACCTGTCATTCCATTCCCAGCATGTCATTCACTGGTCATAGTATGCATGATTGCTGGTCATCAATTGATTCATCTACCAGCTCATTTCTCTTTCTCTAAACTGTGTGGTGCATCATGAACATCAGCTGGTGACTACAGGTCAATATGCTTGCTCACATTCTTCTGAGTACCACCCAGGCATTGGTGACCCTTATCACCCTTGGCATGCACATTGGGCTGGATGTCATCATCACCAATGATCGATTTTCTCTGAAAAATGTTTGGGCATCAGTTGCAATCACATATAACTTACTTCCTCACCATTTTCTGACTGGCTTCTGTGTATTTTGGGTAGACATCCCTCTCATCTTCATCTTCATCATTGTCATCTTCATCCCTCTCCCTCTAAGTGGCACAGAGTGAGCTTGAGATAGTAGAGTGTTTGTTCACCTCCCTTTCTCTGTGTACCCAGAGTGTGTTTGCTGTGCCTGTCACTAGCACTGGCATCATCTGCATACACTTCCTTGGACTTGGACTTGGACTTGTCTCTCTTTCTCTAAGCAACATGTAGTTAGTTCATGATAGTAGAATGCACATTTGCCTACCTTTTTCTGTGTAGCTGGAGCATGTTTGGTGTGCCTATTAGTGCTGGCATCATCTGTGTCCACTTCCTCAGATCCAGACTTGGACTCAGACTTGTCCCTCTTTCTCTAAATGACATGGAGTGAGTTCATGATAGTAGAACACACCTGCCTACCTTTTTCTGTGTACCTGAAGTACATTTAGTGTGCCTGTTAGCACCAGTGTCATCTGCACCCACTTCCTCCTCATCTTTGTCATCAGACTCTTCTCTCTTCCTCTAAATGTACCAAGAAATCAACTTGAGATCAAAATATGGATAAAAGTAAATGCTAACCCTTGCTTTGGCATTCTGTTTTTGCCTTTGTTCAAATGTTGACCAGTTTTTCAATACCTGGGCAATTGAAGCATGTGCACCCCAGCCTCCCTCACACTGCATGAGGATTTCCAATTCTGCTTGGGCCTAATGATGTTAATCTTGGTTATTAGTGGCTATATGCACTTAGAATGTGCTCCCTTACCATCCAAATGACTTTCTCAACAAGGAGCTTGTTGCTTTGGTGAGAAAGCAAATGACTTGTATCCAGGTAGCAGTAGACCAATTTCCATACAACATCCTATTGAGTAGCATACAGGTAATAAGAATACAATAGTAGGGATGGAAGACATACTGAAAGGTGATTGTACATGTCCTTCTTCTCTGTGAGTCCCAAGGTATCTATTAGCTAGTAGCCACTGCCTTGACCTGCTTGGCCCTTGGGCTTGTTAATCAATCTTAACTGTTGGTTAGTATATGTATCTTGCTGTTTTTTCTGCATACTCTCCTCTTTTGCATGGTTCTTTCCTGCAGGAAGAGATATGAGATCTAAATGGTACCTGTCAGTATCAATGAACTCATGTTTGTGCACTTCCAAATCCCCATGGAGTTCTGATAATGACTCCTAATTTATCAATCCTTGACTGCTTCTTGTGCTTCAGCTTTGTCATCGAGGCTGGAGGCTTGACAGTGGAGATGATATGGCACTTAGGATAATGGATGTAAGCAATGACCTTGGAGTGGCTGTGCTCAGGTCAGGTGATCACAGCTTGATACATGTCACTAAGTCAGTTAAGTCAAACATACTGACCATGCCTCCAGTTCAATCTCCAAGGAGGAAACATTGTTGGTGCATCAGTAGACCACTTTGTGAGCTGGTAGTCCTAGGGAATCTGTCCAGTGCTGAACAGCTCTGAACAGCTCTGGCCAGCAAAAGTGATTTACTGATGTGCAATCCAGGATGTGGTGTGCACTTGAGCAGCACACAGTGGTGGTGTCACTATAAGAAGGCTGTGTCCATGGGGCAACTGGCAGGCATGCATGACTCTGAAAGCCTGACAGGTGAAGAAGGCCCCCAACTAGATCTGGCTGAAGGTTAGCTCAACAAGCTGAACATTAAATGATACTAAAGTAATCATCTTGGGTGGTCATTCCTGCCTGGCATCTCCATCTGAGTCATCAGACACAACAGGTGTGAGTGGGGTGTCTGAGTCTGAGGCCAACCCCAGAAGTGATGTTCAAGATGATGTATGGGTATGGGCTGAAGAGCTTGAGGGAGATGATAATGAGCTGCTGGATGAGTTGGAAGACAATGTGAGAAATGAAAGAGAACAAGATCTGTTCACTCTCCATATGTGCCTGGTTGCCCTGGCTCTAATGTGTGAACTGATTATGCATCAGAGAATGATATTCTATCAGATGAAGATCATGACAATATCTGCACATTTAACCTCCTTATGATGGGCCAAATCACTCAATGTGCATACTCACAGATGCAATTCACTTTCTGACACAAAATGAACCTCAACTTGCAATATGTCATCTTTCAGCACATGGCCAAGCTATCTGGGATCAAACCCCTTATGGTTGACTGCTGTGGAAATTCATGTGTGGCCTACACTGAAAAATATATTTATCTTCAGTCTTGTCTGTTCTGTCAAGAAGCATGATTCAACCAGTACAGAAGGCCATGTCAACAATTCATGTATCTCCCACTTATCCCACAACTGCAAGGGTTTTTCCAAAGCATGAGGATGATTGAAACACTCTCATACCATGCAGATTATGATATTGGGAGAGGAGAGATTGCAGATGTATTCAATGGGAATCATTACCAGCAGCTTCTCCATTGTTGCATCATTGTTGATGGAGAAGAGTTACCTCACCAATACTTCTCAGATTCCTGAGACATTGCATTGGGACTTTGTACTGACAGCTATTTGCTCTTCAGGCAGCAATGCAAGGGCCCATCCAGTACACCACTCCTGTTGCAGAACTACAACCTGCCTCTGCATGTGCAAACTCACAGCAAAAACCTATTGTGCATCAGAATTATACTGGCCTGCACCAACCCAAGGACCTTCATTCTGTTCTCATTCTCCTGGACAATGAATGTGCTGAGCTAGCATACAGTGTCCAGACTTTTGATGCATCCCAGCAAGCCCTTTTCAAGATGCACATATATATCATCATCAAATCTGGTGATATCATCACAATCCACATAGTGTAGTCACATTTAGTCACAACACATGGGCAGCCTGTGCACCAAAACACCAACACTTATATGGACCCTGAGACAGGCCTGCCTAAATAGATTAGCTGGTACACATGGACAGGCCTGAGAGACTAAAGTAAGAGCAACATATGAACAGGCCTGTAAGTGCATTACCACAACATATGGGAGGGCCCATGGTGGGTAAGGATGTTGAAACATTTAGACAGGCCTGTGACCAATTAAGTATACTGAGTTGCTGTAAGACATGGATGGGCCTGTCCTGGTAGGTTACACCCCTGTCACAACATCAAGGCAGGCCTGCCTATCATAACATGGAGAGGGTCACAACATATGGATGGGCCTGGGAGTAATATCATTTATGGTGTTGCAACATCTAGACAGGCCCATTCATAATAAGCCATACCCCTGTCACAACATAAAGACAGGCCCATCAGTAATGTTGTTTCATAATGTCACAACATATAGATGGGCCTGTCAACAGTAAGATGTACCACTGTTGAAACATAAAGACAGGCCCATCACTAGTATCATTTAATAGAGTCACAACATAAGGTTGGGTTCATCAGTAGTATTATGCAACATATGGACAGGCCCATCCAAAGTAAGATGTACCTCTGACAAGACATAAAGATGGGCCCATCAGTAATCTCATGTATAGCATCACAACATATGGATGGGCCCTTCAGTAGTATTATTTATATTGTCACAACATATGGGCAGGCCCAGCCCCAGTAAGATGTACCCTGTCAAAACATAAAGACAGGCCCATCAGTAATGTTGTTTAATAGTGTCACAACATAAGGACAGGCCCTTCAGTAGTATTGTTTATATTGTCACAACATATGGATGGGCCCATCAGTAATATCATCTAATAGCATCACAACATAAGGACAGGCCCTTCAGTAGTATCATGTATATCATCTCAACAAATGGACAGGCCCATCTAGCAAGATGCAGCGCTGTCACAACATAAGGATGAGTCTGTGTATGGTATTCTTAGGTGGCAGAAAGGGAGATCCAAGCTATCTACATAAGGACAGTCCATGTAAGGCATTCTCAGGCAGCAGAAAGGGAGATCAAAGGGATCTACATAAGGATGGGCCCATCCATGATATTCTCAGGCAGCAGATAAGGGAAAACAAAAACCAGTGTTACAACATAAGATGGGCTGATCTGTCCATCACAGGAGTACAAACCCTTGGCACCACATAAGATGGGCAAATCCATCATATCATAGATAGCTCACCACAAATGGATGGGCCTATCCATAATTGGGTTATCCCCCTGTCACAATATAAGACAGGCCAAGGAAGACAAGAAATGAACAAAGTGGAACCTCTTGCACTATAGAGTATCTGAATTTCCCACTATAAATTGTGTTTCACATTGGATGATTTGCCTATTCAGTTGGAATCTCAAGTGCTGGTCTATGTAGCTGTGAGCCAGGCTCTGCCATTGGAGCAGATGGGAAACATGCAAAACAAACAGCAATGCTATTCCAGAACAATGCATCATATTTTTATCTGAGCCTCTGCTTCATATATGCATTCAGGATTATTGACTTGTACCAGTATTGCTGTCATGCCATGGGAATCATTCATAGGTGGGATAAAAAATGTGACATCCATGTATCTCATCATCTGTCTTTAACCTCTGACTCTTCCACTCTCCAATCACCATCACCACTCTCACCATCAAACTACTCCATCATCTTGTCATCAGAAACATGTTGTCATTGTTGTCTTGCAAGATCTTCAAGAAATCACCTGAGCTCAATGCTGCAGCCAACCACATCCTTCAAATTTACTTCAAGGATATTGCAGAAGGCAGCAAGCTGGGAAAGGCAGACAAGATTGCAAAGTGGAGAGGTGCCATCAAGGTGATAAATGATGAACTAGTGCATCATAGTGTCATCACATTTTTTCATTAACTGATGCATTTAGGATGCTGTATGTGACCTCATTGCTAGGATGGATGAGATTCTGATGACCCTCATCAGCATCAACACATTCTTAAAGTGGCATGAAGACCTCAGCTTGATCAAGAACCCATGGCCTGAGTAGAAGACTGCCCTATCCCCTTCCAAAAGTGATGTCACCAACCACAAGTGGCTCAACATCATTGAGTGTCGATATGACTACCACTGGTTGGGCCTCCCTATGCCCCATGTGGTACCAACACCAACACCACCCACTCAAGAGACCAAAATGCCTATGAGTGACAAAGGAAAATGGAAAACAACTGAGGCAGAGGTGGAGCAAATGATAGTGGAGAGCTTGCACAGGATGGAGGTGGATGATGAGGGTGAAGATGAGGTGCCAGAGAAGGAGGACAATGAGGAAGAACCAGTGTGAGGCAGGCAGAAGTGCAAAGCTGCTGTGAAAATGATGTCCCATTGATCCAGACATTGATTCCACTCTAGGAAGGCAACAGCAGAAACCAATGATGATGATGACATTCCTGCTCAAGGCCAATTGAAATGCAAGCCTCATCCACTGTTGGATGGACTATATGGTTGTGCTGCTGTAGCTGCCAGAAGGATGCCTTCCCCCAACCCCCATTCCTGTGAGTCATGCTGCAGATGCAAGGTCCAATGCTACAAGAACCCTGGGAAGTCCTGCTTCCCATGCAACAGTTACAAAATTTGATGTAGCCATGCCAAAGGTGGGATTGCCACTCCAACTTGACAGAATCCATCATGAGCCAGGGGAAAAAAGTGAGCTTGAAGTCTGTCCCTGACAATGGAGGCCCAAGACTCCCAAAGCCCAAAGGAATGTCCCCCAAAGTGACACATTTCAATGGCTTCCAAAGCCATCAACACTGGGGTTGGGCCCTCCAACCAGGGAGAGATGATCCCTGAGGGATCTTCACTCAGTATGTTCACAATTTCATGTATTTATGCTGACCCAAATTTTATTCAGAGATTCATATTCCTGCATTCAAATGCAGGGATTCCCACCCAATCCCAGCCACTGTACAAGCAGATTCAATCATCAAGGCTGGCCCATCCATTGTGCAGGAGGTAGAGGACTCTACAGCAGCAGGTATGTTTAATCGCTCTACATTTATGCTAATTATTGCAGTTACCCCTTGTATTCAAAGCAGACACCTGCCCATCGACAACAGCAGCACCCATC